GGGCTGTAACCCCCCAGATTTTTTTTACTAGGCCAGGAGGCACAAAGCATTTTGAATGGTCTATCTCCGTGGGAGACGTCTCCGAATAGATACTGTTAGAAAAGACAATTGAAAAATGAAGCTAAACGAAAGACGAACAAAAGAAGAGAACGTTTGAAAGAGTGATTCAGTTTTGTTGGAGTAAAAAGAGGCATATCGACGCGATAACGGCTGCTTGTATGGCAGGGGAAAAGCAACACAGACAGCTTAGAAACAACTGAAGGACAGAAAAATTAAGCCTACAACTTCAGCGACCTACTAGAAAAAAGAGAGTAAGATGGAGAGAGAAAAAGATAACAAGTAAAATACAATTTCTTATTGGAGTTCAACCGTCCCACAAATATGCACGCCATAGCCTGTCGCCACAAGGCAGTAGTGCCTTGTTTTAGAACATCTCTCTGACAACAGTCCAGTATGACACGGAATAGCTTATCGCTCCGCTCCTCTACATCTCGACGAAAAGAAATTATCTTAGTGATCTACATTATGTCGTTGGCCGCGTGTTGATTCACAATAGACGACACTCTTGGTTGTCACACCTTGTCATAAGTATTGGGGCCACTACAGTCGGAACATGTCCATCTCTGCCCCCCCCCATCTTCAGGATCCATCCCAGAGTCTGTCTGCTTACAGTCTCCATCATAATCTAGTTGGAGATTCGTTATACTGGTCCACACAGGTGGCTGTATTTCCCTTCTCCTCTTTGGATCTCCTTCTCCTTCAATCTACCTAGGGAGTGGGAACCGCTATCTGCCCTATTCTTCCTCAAATTTTTCCCTACAGCGAATACGACGGTTGGTAGGTCCAGTGTCAAATTCCTTCCCACTTTTGCTTCTCCAGGAAGCTTGTCTGCTCTCTCATTGCCGGTTACCCCTGCGTTGCCCTGGCCGAAGATCCAGGCCATTCTTTCCAGGCTGCTCTCCCTGGTCGTAGCCTTCCAGTCCGCATACAGCATCCCTTTCTGTACCTTCTGTAGTGTGCTCATAGATTCAGTAATGATTACTTCTCGCTGATGGCTTGTGTTCTTGATCCAGTGTAGATCCTCCCTTTTGGCTTTTATCCCCATACACATACTGGATGTTGTCAGTGTAGTTGCTCCGCTTTGTTCTTTCACAACTACCCCATCAACTCTGACTCTGAAGGCCTAGCCCGATTTGACTCCTCTATTAACTGATCCATCCGTGAAGATCACAGCATCTCCATATTCGCTATGCTCTTCTATTAGGGTTTCAATTTCAGCGTTTGTAGCTCCAAGTGGCCAGTCGCGACATTCTCTACCCAATGTTGCCTTCACCGCTGTGTACTCGTCAAGCGCATTTCGACCACAACTCAACCCCTGCCTCTCCTGATATCTTGTATTTGGCAGCACTCGTTGATGGTATTCGTGGTTGAGTCGTCCATCCTGTTCCCTTTTTTAGCCTTGATGTAATCTGCCGAGGTATCTCGTGTGCACCCAAGGATTGCCCTCATTCCTTCATTTTGTAACACCTTGAGTCGTTGCAGTTGCGCCTGATACGGTCAAGAGTCCGAGCCTGTACTCTACGACAGAGAGTACCAGTGTCTGGTAGAGGATGACAAGGATTTTCTGGCTCATCTCTTGGTTGAGAAACAGCAAACTATCACAGGTCTCATTAGAACATTTCTCTCCCACATTACCTCTCCCCACACTCTGCGTCCACCCTAACCAGCTTTCGTTTATAGACTTTTCTAAATAGATAACAAAAATATAATAATAACACTATAAAAACAACCACAAAACAGCAAAATGAATAAATACATAGATTTTTCTTAATAGATTTTAAAAAATTACAAACAAAATAAATAAGACTACAACCCCCCCCCCCCCACACACACACAAAACAACGACCCAAAAACAACAAAATAGCAGTGCGTGCTGCAGTTGGCAGATTTGGTTCTTCAGTTCTTTGCTTTTTCGGCTAGCTTTCTATCAATGAGCGGGTCATCCGACACCATAACACTGTATCTCTCTTGGCGCTCAACATGTCATATAATGCTTGTATGGCTACAAGGCGAGTTGCGAACGAATTTCCACGCTCCAGAACTGAATCCACGGAACCATCGGCATGGTTGATTGAACCCTTTGATGATCCAGTTTCGCCGCTTATTTTAATAGTTACTGTATTTTTTTCTCTTTTATATTATTATTGATAAAGTAAAATTCAATCGCTTCCAATATATTGACATAGCAATAATTTAGGCATAGAATGTTAAGTATTGTTTCTAGCAAAATACCATATAGATGAAAGAAACCAAACCAACCCCCCAACCCTACTAAAAAACAAACAAACAAAAAACAACCCACAACAACAAAATAACAATAGCAGCAACAACAACAACAGCAAAAAAGAAAGAAAGTGTAGACAAATAGCAACCTGGATGAGATCTAATTATTTTTTCTCATAAAATCTAGATTGAAATTCCATCATGCATACAATATTGGATTAAACCGGCAACTAATAAATGATGATGAGATAAAACAAACCACGACCAAAAGAATATCTGCAATTCAAGCCACAGCACGAAAAAAGTACATTACAACTTTGTTTAAAAAAATCAGGTGTCCCACAACGAAACATTGGTTTACTTTTCTTCTTCTTCTTCTTGTCATTATTATTATTGTTGTTATTTTCATCATCATCATCATCATCATCATCATCATCATCATCATCATCATCATCATC